CAAAAGTAATCACACAGGATGGTCTGGTCATAAATTCCTAACTGGGCAAGTCATGGCATGCAATCATATCTCAAGCCCACAGCTTCCTTATCAAAGGTTGATCTTTACCGTAAGCCCACCCTGTCCATTGTTCTTATGCATCTAGGATAACATGCCCTTGAAATGTCAGTGTTACCTTTTCCAAACCCCTGGTAGCCATAATCACCTGGCAAGGTACCCAGTGGAACACTATGACCCTTATTTGTAAAAGAAGCTTGAACAGTCATGATCAGGAAAAGGTGATGATCTCTCTGAGTTCTGTGCCTCTGCTTAGTTCTTCCTGACTCTGATGAGGGTCTACAGAGAAGATGCCTATGGACAGCAACAGGTTCACAAAAAACAATAGTCACGACCCAAAGAGCAGCTAGAGTTTCAGCTATACCTGAGAAAGAAGTGTTGTGTCATGGAACATGTTACTGTGAAGAGATCCAGGGGACACTCCACGCTTAGGATCAATCAATAGAGAAGATAACAGAAATAGAGAACAATCCATTAGCAAATCAAAAAAGTAGTTGTTCTTGTATTGCCAGAGAAGCTGGGTCAGTTTCATGCTCAGCAACAAGGAAATCAGCTCCCTATATAAAATGAAGGAGGTGCTTCTGTATCTCCACACCCTGTCATTGCAGTGAGACCAAATAGAGAGAATTAGAGTCAATTCCAAGATAGGGCTAGTTCTCCAGGTTATAAATAGATGGAGGTGGGGGGGATAGAATGCCAGCTCCACAAAATATACTGTAGCATCTCTGGTTCCAAGAATAAAATCTCTTTTTTAGCAAAAGAGAGAGAACACAGCTCACCTCTTCATTTTCCTCTCAACAGCCTGCAGGGAATTCTACCTGTCAGCAAATCTCTGCACCGTGACCTACAGAGTTCTGCAAACTTGGCACAGAAGCTGTGCCCTTCAGAGCCTCTAGAGAAACTCACCCCAAGTACCCATACCTATTAATTCTCATATCTATATATATTTGAGTAAAATAGAATGAAAAATAAAGACACCCTCCTACCCCCTGTTAAACAAGCAGAAAGGTTAATCCATTAGAGAAAAGAGTGCATGGAGAAAAAGGAGATATTTATAAAATATGTAATAATATTTTTAAATGGCCTCTTTAATGGAAATTTGAGGTGGTAGAATCATAAAGAAGTATCAGCCAGCAGTAAAAACAAGAAAATGTTAATCCAAAGAGCCAATGCTAACATTTAACTGAATAACCATATAGTTGAGATATTATTTATTTTATTTTTTAATTTTATTTTATTGTTTAAAGTATTACTTATAGAAGTACATATGTCTTCTTTTTTTTTCCCATTGACCTTCCCCTGGCCTCCCCTACCCCCAGTTTAGATATTTAAAAGTTTTAATGTTTTTATAATATTAATAAATGTTTAGCATGGATGACCAAGGGAAACAGAACAATAAAAACAAAAATAATGAAATAGAAACAGAAAATAAAACAATAAGAAAATGATGCAATTTTCTGATAATAAATTTGAATGAGAGTAAACTAAAAAGATTTTTAGATAAAAACTACAACCTGTTCAAAGGGAAATTTTAAAAAGCATATGTCAGCAGAATACAGATCCCATGTGGAAGATCTGAGATGATAAACATATACTTACTAAGATTACTCGGCTGCAACAGATTTTCAAAAATACAGGGATGGGCAAAGATAGGTTTATAGTTTTATGGACAAAGACATGCAAGTTATGATTCTAATAATAATACAAAAAACTCTGTTTTGCATACTCACAAGTGTAAGCCTACTTTTGCCAATCCCTATATGGTGCCTTAAACCAGGTACAAGCCAAAACCGGCTTGGCTCACTGGACAGAGCGTTGGTCTGCGGACTGAAAGGTCCCGGTTCCATTCCAGTCAAGGGCATGTACATTGGTTGTGGGCACATCCCCAGTCGGGGGTGTGCAGGAGGCAGCTGGTTGATGTTTCTCTCTCATCAATGTTTCTAGCTCTCTATCCCTCTCCCTTCCCCTCTATAAAAAATTAATAACATATATTTTTTTAAAAACAGGTACAAGTTTACTTTTGTCTCAGAAATAAGTTAGAGTTGGTGACCCATACAGCCTCAGGAACACAGGTTCTTCTGAAGTGTCATCCTGCCATCTTCAGCTCATCATTCCATCTCATGATGGAAGGAAACTGCTTTAGAGTCCATCATACTGTCCCTGTCCCAAGCTTTAATAAGAGGTTTAAGTGGAAAGAGAAAACTGCTTCATTTTATAACCTAGCAAAACCAAGTACCTTTAGACTCAAGGAAGTTGCTTTCCAATGGCTGTGATACACCATAGCCTGGGCTTCTCCAGGACAACTTACCAGAGAGTAAGTCCCAGACCTAGAACCAAGGTGATGACAATGTGTAATTCCTCCTGCAAAGAACCACCCACGTCACTTGTTTCTATTTCATCCATGTGTGCCAACCAAATTAAAGACTTAATTCTCAGCCTCTGTAACAGACAATTTATTGGGAATAAAGTTTACAAAAAAAGGAGAAATTGAAAACACTAACCATCCATTCCACCCCTTCTAGCACTATTGAATCCTAAAATAGGATCCTCTCCTCACTTGAGCATCCTACCTGAAGGTAGCAGTGATTTGACTTCTTTCAGGACTGAACAAATAAAAATGGGTTCTTGCCCTAGCAAGTTTTGCTTGGTGGATGGAGCATTGGCCTGTGGACGGAAGGGTCCCAAGTTCGATTCTGGTGAAGTGCATGTAACTTGGTTCAAGACTCCTCCCAGACCCAGGCTCTGGTCAGGGCATATGCAGGAGACAACCAATCAATGTGTTTCTCTCACACAGATGTTTCTCTCTGTCTTTCCCTCTCTTCTACTCTCTCTAAAAATCAGTGGGAAATTTTCCTCAGGTGAGGATTTAAAAAAAAAAAAACAAAACAAAACAACAAAAAAACAACCTGTTCTCACCGAAACCGGTTTGGCTCAGTGGATAGAGCATCGTCTGTGAACTGAAAGGTCCCAGATTCCGGTCAAGGACATGTATGTTGGTTGCCGGCACATCCTTGGTAGGGGGTGTGCAGGAGGCAGCTAGTCAATGTTTCTCTCTCATCAACATTTCGAGCTCTCTATCCCTCTACCTTCCTCTCTGTGGAAAACCAATAAATTTTTTTAAAGTCTTCTTTTTAAGGCACACAAAAGAGTTAAAACAAATCTTAGGGCAATAACCAACAAACGGGAAGCAATACACCAATTTTGACAATTCTCTTGTAGGTCTTTAACCAGTTGCTATGAACAGAAATGAGAAGCCTAATTGACCTCATTCCATATCCACATTTCAGAAAAAGAAGTTCATAAAGAAATTCATTTTTCGGATGGCATAACTATATATATATCCCTAATATGCAAATAGACTGAATGGCAGAATAACCAAACAATCCATCACTATGACCTGTGCTGATCACCAGGGAGGCGTGCGCAGACGTGGCAGGTGTCCGCAGCAGATGGCAGAGCACGGAACATAGCCAGTGTCAGCCACGGCCGGATGGTGGAGCAGGTGAGTGGGGGCACCAGACCAAGGTGGGGTGCTGGTCACTGTCATTGAGGTGAACTTCTGGTGGTTACTGAAAATTCTTTGCTCTCACATGCCGTGGTTTCATCTGTTGCTGATGCCAGTCCCACTTGCATCCACTGCCGGCTCCTGGCACTGGCCCCAATCACTCAGTGCTGTCAGCGAGTACAAAAAGTGGCTACTGGCCCTGATTGCCCCTCAAGGCTTCTCCACCTCCCCCTGTTCCCCAGGGGTGATCAGGGCAGCAGCTGCGCTCACACTCACTAACTGTGCCAGCCCTGCTCGCACTTGCTGCTGGCGCAACATAGTCAGTGGGTGAGGGGGTGGCTGATGCTGTCAGCGTGTGGGAGTGGCAGTGGCAGGAGCAGGACTGCCAGCAGAGAAGAAACCAGGGGCCATGTGGAAGGGGGCAGGAGGGGCACAGATGATGTGCTGAGACCTGCCCCTGTGCCCACAGCAACCTCGCAGCCCACAGTTCCTTCAAGGTGCACAAATTCATGCTCTTGGACCCTAGTTTATTAATAAAGCTATGTTGACCAACACCAGACTGTAATACATTTTATAGTTATTAGATAACCATGTAATGGTTACTTTTACTTTGTTAAATTAACACTTATAAAACACACATATACTCAATACCTGGTCTTATTCTCTCTCTATTCTAAGCAAATATATAAATAAATTAAAATACAATCAATTTTAAATACAGGCTTATTTTACTTTTTTTTAACTAGGGATTATAATGTTTTATTCTTAGAACCTATGTTAGTATCTTTCTTACACTGTGGACATTTCAAATGCTTTGAAAGGGCCCTTACCACACAGAAGTCCAGTGACCTATAGCTCACAGCAATTTTAGGTGTGTTTTTTTTTTTTTTAATATATTTTATTGATTTTTTACAGAAAGGAAGGGAAAGAGATAGAGAGCTAGAAACATCGAAGAGAGAGAAACATCGACCAGCTGCCTCTTGCACACCCACTACCGGGAATGTGCCCGCAACCAATGTACATGCCCCTGACTGGAATCGAACCTGAGACCTTTCAGTCCACAGACTGATGCTCTACCGCTGAGCCAAACCGGTTTCGGCCAATTTTAGGGTTTGAGGACACTCTAAAACCACACATTCTGAATTCTGTGTGATATTGCACAGTCAGAAAAATGTCATATCCAGAGTCAATTTATTCCATCACAAGAAGTAGGGAAATGTTGGGATCAGGAGGAAAAGTGAATGGAGGAAATATTCACAAATCCAACTATTCAGGTACATCTCAATCACCTGTAGAATCAAGTGCTCATGACTACTTTGCTATGAGATTAATAGAACTAGGACTTCTCACTTTGGAATGGCCTCCACCTATATAGCCTGGAACATCCATGGGCAGTGTCTTTGGCAGGAGCCTCTGAAAAAAATGAATGTATTAATATCTACTCTTTTATGTAGAACACCCTGAGTACTCGCTGGCGGATCTGCGCAGTCTTCACCCCATAGACAACTGGGTTGAGTGCAGGGGGCACAAGGAGGTAGAGCGTGGCCAGTAGAACATGAACATGATGGGGCACATGGTGGCCAAAACGGTGAGTGAGGAAAGAAAACATTCCAGGAACATAGAAGACCAGGATGACACAAATATGAGACCCACATGTACTAAAGGCCTTTAATCGGGCCTCAACCCCTGGCACCTTTACCACTGCCTGGAGGATGAGGGCATAGGAAAAACCAATAGCAAGGACATCTAGTCCAACCACAAGCAGTGCCACTACCAACCCATAGGCTCGATTCACTATGGTTTCTGAGCAAGCAAGTTTCACCACAGCCATATGTTCACAATACGCATGGCCTATGACAGGGGCCTGGCAGAAGGTAAGTCTCCCCAAAAGGATAGGGAAGGGGAGGAGGAGGACTAATCCCCGCAGCAGCACTGCCATTCCAATGCGCCCTATGACCCATGGATGCAAGATGGTGGGATGGTGCAGAGGGTGACATATGGCTACATAGCGATCGAGAGCCATGGCCACAAGTACACCTGATTCCATAGAAGAGAACGCATGAATGAAGAACATCTGTATCAGGCAAACAGTATACCCAATCTCATGGGCATCAACCAGGAGCACCGCGAGCATTTTGGGTGCAGTGGAGGAGGCCAGGACCAGGTCAATGCCAGATAGCATAGCCAGAAAGATGTACATAGGCTGGTGCAACCCTGGGTCAGTCCAGATAATGAAGAGGATGGTGACATTGCCCACGAAAGCAAAGAGGTAAAGGACACACAGTGGCAATGCTATCCAGTGCTGGCTTTCCTCTAAACCTGGGATGCCAATTAGGAAAAAAGAAGGATGGAGAAGACTCCAACTGGAATTACTATGGGTCATCATGAACGGCTCAGAGAGGGGAGAGAGGAAAGAAACCAAAATCATGATTTCTCCATTGCTGGTGGGTTATCACATTGTCCAGACCTGGCTGCCATCTTCATGAGAAGAATAAAGAGGCTTATACTGCAACACAAGGGAATAAAGGGAATAAAGATACAAGAAAGAACATTTCCTTTTCTTGAGATAATTTTTTTAAAGATGAAACATCCTCTTGTCTGAATTAGCATAGGTCTCATTTCATTTACAAACATAAGTAAGCATATGCTGCTTTTAGAGATATTTTTCAAGTCTGCCATTCAATTACTTGTAATTTGGAACTGTCTACTCAAAGGATTTTCTGTGTTAACTCTTGGCATTACTGAACACTATAAATCAGTCTGTTATTCTCTAAATGTTTCCTTCAGTTTCATTGCATAGCACTCTACAATTGTTTTTTCTGTATCCCCAGTCTCAGCACTTTCTCCATCTTCCTATCCATTATATGTTGTTCATTTCAAGGTTCCATCTTCCCCTCTCTTCCAGATTCTGTCCATTATGTCTGATTTAGTTCATCCTTTTACATGGTTTTAACTATTTAAATACTTTAATTTCTTCCATGTCTATGTATCTAAGCAAATAGATTTCTGAAACAAAAATCCATTTTTTTCATGTGCTTTCTAAACAGCTATATCACAAACTCAGTATATCTTGAATATATTCTCTACCTTCCTTTTGTCCATCTTTTTGTGAATTAGATCACTTTCTACCTATCCAACCTAATGTAGAAGTGTGAAACTATCCTCATTTATATCTTACTCATTTATATCTCTCACCACTTTCGTCTATTCACCAGTTCTTGTTGAATTTATTTTTAACCCCTCTTATATCTACTCTTTTTTCTTAACCCCCAATGTCACTACCAAATTCACACTCCCCACTCCTCTCACCTAAGTTTCCTTAGATCTCCCTGCCTTTGCTATTATACTCTTCTCAATCATTCTTCACCCTGAAGTCAGAGGGTTTTTCCTGAAATGCGATGTCATGTCACAGCTGAAGTTAAAATTCTTTGGTGAGTTTAATCCATGAAAAAATATACAGTTAAGACTGGCATACAAGATCTTCAAGAGTTACCTTATATAATATAAAGTCTCTTATGTCAATATAGCTATTGTTATTAACAATAATGAAAGATCATTGACTTTGAGATCACTGGCCTCTTTCCTTTTCTCCTTGTCTCCATGAGTCTGCTTCTCTGTTTCAAACTTTTGCTGTCTGTTTCGTCATGGTGTGATGCTAATTCAGTGTTTTTTACACCCCAATATTAACAAAGAGTACTAATTAAATAGGTGCTCTGATTAACTTTCTCTATGTGAGTCACCTCCTGGGCATTGAAACAAAAAACTGGAAACTGGATATATTTGTTTGTGTGTGCTTGTCTTAAAAGCTGGGCACAGTCTGTAATAACTATATTTGTCACCTGAGGGATGGAGTGGGGGGGAGCACATATATATGTTTTTATAAAAAGAGTCAGAAATGACTCAGTTTTGGTGAATTATACATGAATAGACCACTTCAATTGTCTTTTTTTAATAAATCAATAATGACTACAATAGTGCCATCAAACCTATAAACATACACCTAAAAAGTCTGAAATCTCTGGTAGGCATATATCTTCCAGCCTTCAATTTCATTCCAGATTTAAAACCCTTATTAGCTTCAAGTAACAGTGACATAGTATGATTGAGATCTCACCCCCACCCCAAGAGAATCTCATAATCATAAAAAGTCACATTTCAAGTGCCTAACATCCTACGCATTGAGAAAGTTAAAATCCCTTTCTTAATCACTCCCTTCTACTACAAGTTTCAGGCCACTTCTCATTTTCGAGCTGAGAACTCAGAGAACAGCTGAGCATCTGTGGAAGGTCGCTCATCGCTTTGAGAGAGGACCTGTCAGCAGAGCGGTGAAGAATGAAGCCTGGCTGCATGCTTCCTGATTTGTGAGTCTATGGAAAGCCTAGAGCTGCCTAATAAGCATTAACTAAACTAAACAAGAGGTCCCTCTGTTATTCTTAGAAGAAAGCAGAAGGGACTTTATTCCCAGGAACATAAAAGTGAAAATAGGTATATTTAGCTCTCTGACCAGAATGCAACGTACAATTAGCAAAGAACTGATGTTGTGCCTTCCTACTTATTCATGTCAATTCAGTTCAAGTGAGCTGTCATCTATAAAGCTGTCCCCCAATTCTGTAATGCAGCATCAAACTCTTAGCCAGCCTGTCATTGCACTGATTACCTTGAGCTGAAAACCTGTCCATCCTTGAAGAGCTGGGATTGTGCCTACCTTATGGCAGTGGTCACAAGGCAATTTCCAGAAGTGCTGGAATCTAATTGATGGTGTTTGCTGAATAAATTAATAACTGTATGATTACATTTTTAAATAAATAGGTGAGTATATAAAACAACCAGGAATCGAGGGAACTTGACAAAACACATTGAACTTACAGGATGGGAAGGATGTGGCAGACAGAGGGATGTCCCAGAGGAATGGACTAATTCCTCAGTTCTTCTCAGCTGAAGGAAATTCTGGGTGCTTTATGGAAAAGGAACCCTATTAAATCTCTCTGCCTAAAGACCATCGCCGAATCCTGGTGTGTGTGTTAGAAATTAGGGTCTCCTGTGGTCACCACTGATCACTTCTGTCACTGCAGGCAGGGAAGCTCCTCTATGGACCATTACCTGACCCTGTCTCCTTAATCCCCTTAACAGTGTCATGGACTTGACATCAGTGGTAACAGGGAGATGCAGAAACACACAAGTTATCTTGCAGTAATATGTGATCTTAAGGGCAGGAGCTAAGGGGAATGGACCATTGAGAATTTGTTTTGAGGAGTCAGACCTAGGGAGAGCTGCTACTCTGAGACAAGGAGTCATAAATTTAAGACTACTATGAGGTGTCAGATCACAGGTATTGGAAGACTTGGAGCCATAATGGCCAACCATGAAATAACTTCTATCACAAGGGCTACAAGATAAGCAGAAGAAGGGAGCCATCAATAGTCTTCCCTAAAACCATAAACCCCAAACCCGACTTCATTTTCCCACCTGAAATCTCATAATGAACTTTTAGCTGGTTCTGTCATCTTCACTCTGAAAGGCAAGTTTATTCTCGATACTTCCCCAAGGCAGGGCTGGTGACTGTGAACAAAGCACTGGGCAGGCAATATGTTATTACCATAAGTGTATCCCAGAGGACATTCATACATACATGGGCATAGCCTGCAGATTGGCTGGAGATGCACAGAGCCAAGTCTACTGCTCCAGGGATGGATAATTGGGCAGATAGGCAGAGCAGGGAATGGCATGCACACCTGCCCAAGTGGCCTACATGTGCCCAGTGTTGGTCATCACTCTTAAGCCTATACATCCTGATGGCTTTGTTAGGAAACCTCATGTTCAGTGAGCTAGAAAAATTCACATTGCTTTATAAGCCCTTTTTCCTCATTCTTGCAGGTCAAACTCAGACCCAAAACGTTCTCTCTTTTTTTTTTTTATTGTTTGTTACTTTATCTTGTTCATTATATACTACATATAAGTGAAATCATATGGTATTTTTCTTTCTCTGACTGGCTTATTTCACTTAACATAATACTTTCCAGGTCTGTCCATGCTATAACAAAAGGTCCAGTAGTTTCTTCTGTTTTATGGCCAAGTAGTATTCCACTGTGCAAATGTACTACAGCTATGTTATCCACTCACCTACTGATAGACACTTGGGATGCTTGCAAATCTTGGCTATTGTAAATAACAATGCAATGAGCATGTTGTTTCAGGTTTCTTTGGATATATTCCGAGAAGTGGAATCGTTGGAACATAAAGCAGTTCCATTTTTAATTTTTTCAGGAAACACCATACTATTTTCCACAGTAATTGCACCAGTCTGCATTTCCACCAACAGTGCAGGAGGATTCCTCTTTCTCCACATCCTCATGAGCATTTGTTGTTTGTTGGTTTATTGATGATAACCATTCTGACAGGTGTGAGATGATATCTCTTTATGGTTTTAATTTGCATTTCTCTGAAGATTAGTGACATTGAGCATCATGACCCATAGACATCTGTATCTCCTACTTGGAGAAGTGTCTATTCAGGTCCTTTGCCTATTTCTTAACTGGATTGTTTGTTGTTTGGGGTATTGGGTCTTATTAGTTCTTTATAAATTTTAGATATGAACCTCATCAGATGTATCATTGGAAAATATATTCTTCCATTCAGTGGGTTGTCTTTTCATTTTGTTGATGGTCTCTTTTGCTGTACAAAACTTTTTAGTTTGATGTAGTCCCATTTGTTTATTTTTACTTTTGTTTCCCTTACCCAAGGCTATATATCAGAAAAAAATATTGCTATAAGAAATGTACAAGATTTTACTGCCTGAGTTTTCTTCTAGGATTATTATAGTTTCGAGTTTAACATATAAGTCTTTAATCCATTTTAATGTATTCTTATGTATGCTGTAAGAATGAGGTGAATACCAATTATTTTTGCATGTATCTTTCCAATTTTCCAAACACCATGTATTGAATAGACTGTCTTTCCTCCATTGCATGTTCTTGCCTCCTTTGTTACGTGTTAATTGACCATAAAGGTGTAAATTTATTTTGGGGCTCTCTATTCTGTTCCATTGATCTATATGTCTGTTTTTATGTGAGTACCAAGCTGTTTTGATTACTGTGGTCTTGTATTATAGTTTGATATCAGGTAGCATAATTCCTCCAACTTTGTTCTTCTTTCTCACTATTGCTATGGCTATGGGTATTTTGTGGTTCCATATAAATTTTTTGAATATTTGTTCTAGTTTTGTGAAATGCACCATTGGTATTTTGATTGAAATTGCATTGAATCTATAGATTGCTTTTGGTAGTATGGACATTTTAATGATGTTAATTCTTCCTATCCATAAGCATGCTATATGCTTCCAATCATTTGTATCCTCTTCAATTTCTTTTTTCATTGTCTTATAATTTTCTGAGCATAGGTCTTTTACATCCTTGGTTAAATTTATTCCTA